AAAGGACCATCTCCTTGTGAAAAAGCAAACCAAAGGTGAAGGCTTAATCTCTCCCTGGGGCACCTTGGTTGCTGCTTGTGTTGTTTTTTTCCCTTCTCAGTTGTTCTATCTCTTTTCTGAAAAGAGAAGTTATGTACATTCCACGTTAGTCTTAAATTTTGCTTTGGCTCGTATTCATCAGCTGGTTTTTGGGCATCTGTGGGATTATTTTAGGTAACGTTTCACATGAAATGGATGGTAAACTGCAGAGGAATGCTTGCTCTATGAAGTCACTCTCTGTGCCTAAGAAGGGGAAGTAGACTGGTTTTAAACAATCCTACCTCTCTTCGTTTATGTATGTAAAAAGTTCAGAAAGTAAGAGACATACCTAGAATGGGAATGTGTTTTGATTCAGTAACTGGAACAGTTTTCTCTCAATTTTGTACCTTAAACTGACATGGTAGATCTTCTATAATTACTGGAAACCTATGCCCTACAGACTTTATTTTTAGCAAGGAAAAGGTTGTAGCTTGGAATTAGTTTTATAGCCTATTTGAATATTTGTGGTTTTATACCTGACCTCAGGCAAAAGCATCTTATGGTGGGATTTGCTATTGGCATCACAAATGGTTATGTTAAAATGATGCTTTGTGTTTTTCTAAACAAAGGCTGTAAATGATAGCCTATCTTCATGTATGATATTTGTGGTTGCTAATAGTTTATTCTTGGAAGAGTTTTTGCATGTGTTGAGCACTTCGAGATAGTGACAGAGCGATTTGCAAGGGCATGCATGCCTTTCTGTAATCTAATCTCAAAAGACATGTTACTTTCACATGATGCGGTTTTGAAGGCTGCTTCTGTGTGCGTGTAGGGTTGGCAAAGTACCTCTGTTACTAAAGCAAAGGGTGATTAATATTAATAACATGGCATAAGGCATACAGCAAGTACAGTTTCAAAATGTCACTGGGATATAAAATCTTTCCTTGCATGCTTATTTTCCACAGTGTGTGTGTAATTTTCTACCAGCATGCAGTAGTCTGTATAATTTGGAGAAAAACTTCGTCTTCCTTTATTGCTCAAAAACTGTGTTCGGCAAGCTTCCAAGTGTCCAAAAGGACTTTTAGTGGGGGGAAGTTAGGTACAGGATACTTCAGCAGTTTATGGCTGTAATCATGAAGCTAATTGTGGAAGAGTTTTTGATAGCAGTTTTCCTAATATTAGGGTTTTTTCCTCTCTCATAAGACGCTTAATTTAGAGGAGTTGTAATACGTCATCTATTTCTGTCTCTATTTTGAGTTTTCTGGGTAACATGGAGGATTTTTGTGTATATCTGTTTCTGTAAATGGGAGTGTACTACAGTCCTATAATTTTCTATTTGTGTCACTGAGATAAATTGGAAAGCAGGTATGCTTGATTCCTCCTTGGTAGCCTTGTGGCCTTACCAGTGCAGTTACATGTTTCGCTGTGCTTATTTGGTGCCTTAAAAGATTGTTAATGTAAGCTTTTTAATGCTGCTGCTTAGAGACCTCTTTTTCCTATTGAGTGTGTATGCATGTTAAAAATGTTTTCCCAAGCTGTGTTGGAAAATATATCTTTAGTGAAGGTAAGAGCCAAGACTCACTTTGCAACTGTGTTTTCCCTACTGCCAGAATGATTATCAAAGAGATGAGAGGCCAGTTACATCATGAAGGCATCTTCTGGAGGGGTCTTTAATTTAAAAAAAATGAATTCAAAAGATTTTTAACATTTAATTTTGGTTTTGGTGTGTAGGAGACAGGAATGTACTACTTTCCCCCAGTCGTTGCCACTCCCCCCCCTCCCCCCCCTTTGTTAATAGGTCCTTGTAACACTTTCATAGAATAGCGTATCAGACACGACTTTGGTTTAATCGCCTGAGTTTTTTTAATTGTAGCTGTCTGGAGTGTGCAGGAGTTTTGATTTCTTTTTTTCCTAACGTGCATGCAAAACTCTGCTTCTGCAATGCAGCAGTCGTGACAAAGTTATGTTACTGTGTAATGCCTTTCTTGAAAACCCCTCTCTTGCAGACATAGCTCAGAATTGACTTTTATTCGGTTTTCAGAGGTTTATTCTGACATGTGCCACTCTTTTCTTTTGTATCTTGCTTATTTATATAGTGCCAGCTGCTTTTATTTTCTATGTGGTCTTAACTGCTTTTAACTTTTTTTTTTTTAAAACCTAATCTGAATTTTTTGTTTTCCTGTATGTGCCCTTGTCATCTTCATATTCTTTAAGCTACTTTCCTCAGTAGTCAAACACAGATTTTGATTTTGTGTGTGTGTGTGTGTGCACAATACACTGTAATAAATAAGTATTTTAGAAAGACTAAGGAGTTATGTGTTCAAAAAATTTTTTTCTTTTTTGGTGGGGGTTGCTACAGTATGTTTTAACCTATAGATGTTACACAGGTACGTTGTTTTTCATCCTTGTCACTTCCTCATGAGATGACAAACCTGTTCTGTATTTAAAGCATTGCACTATTGAGTAATTCTAAGATCAAAGTTTAGGTGAATATCAACACCGTTAGCATTCCCAGTCCCTATAAGACTCCTGCTTTATGCTTCCATTTTTTCCTCGTGAAACTGTTATCACAGATCCCATGTTGATCGATGGAAATGCACCAGTGGGCTGCTACCAGCAGCAGTGATCAAACGGATTTATTTGTGGTGGATATAGCTGTCATGTGGCCACAACAAAAGTCAGTTTGGTGAACTCCTCCAATGGAAAACTAATCAGTAGTTTTAAAAAAAAAAAATAAATTAAAATAATCCATTGCTTCAGCTCTTTGTATTTGACTTCATGATTGATAGATCTGACTTAAGGAAAAAAGTGTGTGCCCAAGGGAGCAGAAAGAGCAGGGACGGTATTCTTTAGCAGTTAGCTTGCCGTTACACATAGTTGGATGTAAAGTAAAGCATCACCCGTAGGGTAGGCAGCAATTCTTTTGGAGAACCAGTTCTGCCAGGAGGCTGTTATTTGTGAGCTGTTAAAAGTGGACTGCATGCTAAGGAATGCAAACATTTGGAGAAGGGCAACTTTAATGTTGTTTTGATGTCAAGTCTGTCAATCTGTTTTTTAACTTGGTGCATAAAACCCATGAGTTAGATAGGGGTGTGGTTAACAAGCTGTTGAAACTGGAGTGAAACAGTTATTCTGATCTTTCCAAAACTGTTTCTCTTGTGTAACTTAACTCTTTTGCTACCCCTTTATATAACCTTTGGTTCACAAAAGCTTATTTGTGCTGCAAAATCTCACACAGGAACTGTCCCCTAAGCAAATGGGTTCAAGAAATCTGAAGTTACGCAACTTAATATAAATTGGCCAGTTATTTTACTGAAGTAGATTCATTGTTGTCGAATGTAAAACTAAAAGAATATCCCACTCCTGAAATGTATGTCCTGATCCTTGATATGACAAAATCAAGAGCACTGCAAAAGGAAAAGTGCATGGTATTTAGCATATCTGTTGATTTACTCTGTTCTTCCTTCAATACAGGGTAATGTTTTCTTGTAGAACTGGATGGGTGGATTTTCAATGACATTTTCTTTCTAAGTTTCTGAGAGGCGAAAATGCGCTGTTTTAGAAAACTTTGACAAATGGCTTCAGAACTGCAGAATATATTTAAGAATTTAGAAAAAAATAGTTCTATTTAGTTTTAACTTCAACTTGTGTCTTGTTTTTTCAGGGTCACGATGAAGAAGCTGTTGTGGATATGGGCAAAATCAGCTCTACTATCAATACAAACTTTGAGAAAGAAGAACTAGAAAGTAAGTTTGTGGTGGGTTTCTGTTTGCTTAACATGCATTTTTTGCCTCGGCATAAAAGATCTGTTTTCCTTCAAATGCAACCAGTATCGCTACAAAGAATCAGAATTTTATGGCCATCATGAAATTCTAGGAATAAAACCAGTGAACAGCAGATGACCTGTGCTGTTTTCTGTTTCTGTGCATGCTGATAAGTACACACTGTTATTCAAAACTGTCACGGGGGGGGGAAGCAGCTTTTCAAAGAAAGCTTACTTTTCAGAGTGTAGGTTTGAAAAAAAATGATTGCTGTTGGTAAGTAATTTCCCAGCATGAATCTTCTGCAGAATCAAAACTCAGGGAATAGGGGCCGTGAGGGACATGTTTGTTTTGTTTTCTGAAAGTTAAGTGTCCTTGTGAGAGTGGTCAGGCACTTCAAATACTGAGAGTCTGAACAGATAACAGTGCTTCTAGTTCCATGGTAAACTTTACATTCTGCAATCTGCTGTCAGTGAAAGCTTTACGGAATCCTGTGAGTCTTCATTATTTGACTCAGGATCCTGTGTTTAGCAACAAAAAAGGCATTGAGTTAGTTTCATATAGCAAAATGCAAAATGAGATACTTCACCTAAGATACAATTTCTTACTGACTCACAAAGGAAGTAGATTGGGATGAAGATTCATGGATGCTGTTTAGCGAAGCCAGAGGAAAAAGCTAGGGAGATCCAGTGTTAAAATCTTATTTATTCAGCTTTCACATAGAATGCTCTGAATGCTAATTAACATTTGCAAAATGCTGAAGGTCTATTTAGATTCACTAAGTAATATATCCTGACAGTATTGACTCTTACTGCTTCAGAATACTGGAGAGCCATTATAGCAGCAGTTTCTAGCTTTCTAGTTGATTTAGGTTGCTGTCACATTTTCTTATACTGTGGTCTAACAAGAGACAGCTTAAAGTGATTAAAGTTGTTTGTTGCTGTTGCAGTTGTGCTCTTGCTCTGTTCCCTTCAGTCTGTTACTGCTTTCTGTCTTGCACTGACACTTCTGTTTGTCTGACTGTACTGTAAGCCTGGTTAAGTATGTTAAGCCAGTAGAAAATGTAACAGTCCTGACAGAGGAAAAGAATACGAAAGAGCTCAGCAGTTGAGCACCCCCAAACCAATTTGCCACACAGATGGATGTGTGCCAGTGCTGAGCGGAGGGAGGAAGCACGAATATGAGGCCAAGAGGTACAGCGATGGAGGCTGCAACAGTGCCAGTTTAGATAGGGTTGAGCTGTGGTGGAACCACTACCGTGCTTGTTTCTACAGTTAAATCTTCAGTGCAGATTTAAGCTGTCTGCTCTTTCATTTCCTTCTCTTGCTTTTCTCTGGGAGATGACCCAGAAAAAAAGCACGTGTGTGTTTTGCAGGGAGACAGGGGTTAAGGGGAAGCAGGCGTTCAGCTGGAGTAGTTTGCCATGCAGCAGCATGAACAGCTGTAATGCCTCAACCACGAAGAATGACATGGGAAGAATGATATGGGAACG